GTCAGTCTGTTCAGTTCACTACGTGGATCGAACAGTCCAGCCATTTTGAGATTTTCCCCTTTTTGTTTTAGCCTGGACCAGTCGGTCTTGAAGCAAACCGTCTGGTCTACGCGTTTGATCATCCGGCTTTATTTTTAATCCTGGACCGATCGGTCTGGGTGTGGACCGGTCAATCCAACTCATTTCGAACCGTCCGTTCTATCTGTGGTGGTCGGTCCAGTCCTGGACCGGTCGGTCTTGGACCTACTGGATCGATCTGTCCATTCATTTCAACTGATCGTTCTATTTGTGGCCCAGACCGATCGATCCAAGTCTGGACCGGTCGGTCTGGATCCTGGGTTTCGTCTTCCCCATGAGTTCTTTCCCATTTTCACCATTTTTTATCCGATTTCGATCCCGATTGTTACCCACTCATTATTAAACATTACTAGGTCCTTTATCCTTGTAGAAACACTAATCTACACCATTAATCATGAGAATTGAATCTCACAAACACAACTCAAAACCACTCACCTCGAATTTCTGTGAGATGTGTTTTTCTCTGAGCTCGTGCGAACTCTCTGGGTTGTTTCACGTCGTGAAACCTCCCAGTAATCTTCTATATCCGCCCCTCTAGAATCCTCTGAGCTCGTTTTGCCTCAGATCCTCCCGAATCACTATCTTTTTCTCTCTTTTGGAAGAACAAATTTTCTAGTCACTGAATGATCATCTTGACCTGTTGGAGCCGGTTAAATTGACGTTAAATGCCGCCATAGGGGCTAGGGAGAGGGTAAGAGAGCCAGAGGATGTCGCCTACTTCGTCTGGGTGGCGGTCGCTCGCGCGTGGAGTCAGTAAGTTGCGAGAAAATTGCGCCCGACAGTGGAAGAAAGTCAGCATTTTCGGCGATTGTTTTCCCCAGTTCTCAGACCGTCCGATCTAGTGTCGGACCGTCCGGTCTGGCTCGCGAACGTGCAGAGTGATTGGTCTGCACTCTGGACCGATCGGTCTTGACCAGTTTTTTCGTCTTTTCTTTGCTTTTCCCTGGACCGATCGGTCTACCTCTGGACCGATCGGTCTAGACCCTTTTTCTTTCGTTTTTTCGACGTTTTCGACGTGTTTTAGTCCCGTTTGTCCTTTGGTTCCATATTCATACCAATCATATTATATTTTAGATTTGATTTACCCTATTTTAATCCCGAAATTAAATTAAATAATTTATTCGGGAATCTGGATATAACAAAAAGTGTCATAGATTTCGAGACGTTTAATTCTATATAGCAAAAAACGAGGAGCCAATGGAAGTTAAGATGAATTAATCATTAAGTGTCACTAATTACGGTATCTATATATATTCAAGATAGATCAAAACGAATTTTTCGAAAATCATCAAAATCTGGAAGAAGAGATCGAAAACAAGAAAAAGAGTAACGAATGAAACCCTCTAGAAACTGTTGACCGATGATGAGATGACATCGAAGAACAACCAAGGGATTCATGTTCTCCGCAAATTCAACACCATAATGGGAGCTTGTAATTATATATGATGGATAAACACATGTACACACCTACCTATAAGGTATATATTTATATGCACATGCATCAATGGACATAATTCGTGTTCGTTTTGTTCCGTAGAATGGAAGGGCTAACAGAAGAAAAGATATCCTTTTGAGGTGTTGAAGAGAACATGTGCTCTTTTGGAGATCAAATAGAGGAGTAAAGATACATATGTCAATTCGTATGTAGCTTTGTGGTACCTACACATTAACGAAATTTGTTTAAAGGGTTTATTATTATTTGTTTTACTATTGTGTGTTAACCTATTGCTAATAGGGACATGATTCGGGTTAGATTCACCATATCTATTACAGTCTAACTTAAGATTCAGTTCTCCGGTCAATAAATTCGCTCCAAATCAAGTGTAAGTTGTATTATTATTTTTTCTCCATTTTAAAAGTTGGATGTTTAAGATATTATATTTATATTACATTATATGACCTTCATATATATATATATACACGATAAACATTGAACAACATAATAATCTAAATAGATAATTTGACAACCTTCATATGACGTTTTATATTTTTTACATTTTTTTATATCATAATAAATAGTGAAATTTATAATATTATAAAAATTGAGTATTATTTTTTGAAAAGGCTTTCCAACACCAATTTTTTCATGAATGCAAGTATCGAATTGATAAAGTAAACTAATAATAATATATTTCTGATTGTTAAAACATCGAGAAAACCATTTAAAGAGACCCAAAAATCTTAATGAATAGTTGATTTAGTTAAAATGAGTTTTGAAATCATTAAACATTAATTAATTATTTTAATTCGTGAATTCTAAACTATAAAATTGTGGTAATATGCCCCTCATACTCACATCCACGATACAAATATCGAATTGATCAATTTGATTTTTCAGAATACTTGAAATAGATGGTCCGTCTCATTCTTTTGTTCTTTACAGATTCATTTTTTTTTATATTTTTTGTTAAATTTATTAATTGAATGTTCTTAGAAATTTGTTTTTAGCAACAACAACAACAAAATATTCAAATGTTTCAACTTTTGTTACAACACGCACAACAACATCATCAACAATAGAACCATCCTCCTTCTCAATAGTGTCCTAAAAAATTGCTAAAGAATGAATTTTCGAGATTAAAATGGTAGTTTTTTTTTTTGTTTTGATAGATTTGTTTTGAATCGTTTAATGGCGGTCACCATTGGACTTTTAAAATATTCTAATATGTAATATATGTAGCTAGAATAATTTTTCGATCTCATTGTTCAGGTGTATATATATATGCGTATAACGATACACGCAATAATAATCCATAATCTTTAGAAAAAAGAAATTGCTACCACTTTTAATTTAATAAACAATTTAGAATCCCTTAATATAATCTCTACATATTTGTACCGAAAATTTTGAATATCGGTAATTTGTAATTTGACGGTGCTCTAAACGATGGACCATATCAAAATAAATACACATTCTTCAATGTTAAAATTCAACTTCAAACTACTCGCATCAAATTCCGTCTTATACGTTCGTCTCCTAAGCTCATCATATTCTCCATAAATGATTTTTTTTTCCAATTTTATAAGATTACATCAAAACTAATAAAATACCACAGTAATCGTGTGTGGTTGCGATTTGGTAGGGGAAGCGTTGTTATTTCAATAAGGTCATAGAAATATAGATATTTTGGAGAAAATAATGCAACCTCAATAAAAGTTATGTTAAAAGACATACAAAAAAACACTGTTAAAAAATTCCGTTAAACATTGGTGTTGTTTTGTCAAATTAATCAATGTGCATGTTATTATATATTTAGAATGAGATGTTTGTGCTATTGATAAGTTTATATAATTAAAAATAAAGATATGTGTATTCAACCATTTTATTGAACACGTGCACTTCTTTATAGTGAAGTTGGTGATATCACTTTTTAACTTTCGGTAAATATTTATTGTTATTTTCCTATCATTCAAATTAGCTAATTTATTTATTTGAATTTGTGATCATTTCATATAGCTAGATTAACTCTTATGAATTTAAAATACTAGTGGTTTTACTAGAATATAATGTGAAATGACAGTTTAGTTAAATATGAGTATTCTGGAGGGACACGGGTTTTTATTTTAAAGATTTTTTTAGGCTTATCAAATCAGATTTTAAAGTGTATACTTTGTGTGAAAGTTCATCCGGGACAAGTTCTATTAGATTTTCTCTAAGTTTGATAAGTGACATTTTTTTTAAATTTCAACTCTTACCATCCGGAACAAACCGACCGGTTTTACCGAAAGCTTTTTATTTGGATTTCATATATTCTAAAACCCAAGAATTATCATTAAATACTTTGTTTATTAAATGAAAACGAAAAATGTTAAAACCAAAAGATTAATAAAAGGTCAGTTTGGTGTCACTAGATTTTTATTTTGAATATTTTTTGGGGACTTATCGAATCGGGTCTTGAAATGTATGACCCGAGTGAAAATATATACGTGACGAATCCTATTAGAGTTTGTTTGGGTCTGGTAAGTAATGTTTTATTTGAAGCTATTACTCATATCATGGATGGTTTATGTAAAGAATCAAATAAACCAAATTGGGATAATAAGAATAATAAGAAGCAAATTTAATAAACTATAAACAAACTAAATGAAAAAGTTAATTAAATGAGGATCATACTAAGATTTATATAAAGTAAAAGTGGATTGATTTCATACGAATTGTTGAATCAATATTAGTATGATAAAATATATATACAACACAAATATAACATAATCTTACTTTTTTTATTTTTATAAAGAATAAAAATGATCAAATCTTTATTTGTAAAAAAATATATAGTCACTTAAACCGTTATGGGGTAAAAGAGTGATATGATTAGTGTTGTATTTCATTAATTTGATATAACAAATAGATATTTATAAATTTTAAAAACTGATGAGATTATACAGGTTTTAATATTATACCAAGGTTTTATCGTGAAAATTTTATTAATTTAAATATATTATTATTGGATTTTAAAACAAATCAAAATTTTAAAAACATTATTCCGGTATATATATAACCCGCGAAAATATAAATACTGAAACTATTCATAATTTTTTTAAAAATAATCCAACATCATATTATCTCGACATTTTAAAAAAACTTAATATATATATATATATATATTCCCAATTATATAAAACACAGTATTTTTTGAGATAACTCAGTATAAAATAAAAACTATAAAATAAAAAAATAAATTAGTAATATTTTTTATAATTTTATAGGAATTTTTAGTCCGCGATGTGCGTGGTTATTAACTAGTATTCATAATTTTACTCAAATACGAGAATTAAGCTCTAAGATACATTTATATCATTACCTATTTATATTTTGTCTCGTCGCGAACTTGCATTTTCTTATCACAGATAACTTTATTTTTTCTTGAACAGTATGTATTTTCAATTTTTATATAAATTGGGCATTTGATATTAAGTGGAATATTTCTTTAGTTACCATTCATCAGGAATCTCTAAATCGAGTTTTGAAGCTGCGACGACCAGCTGTGTCGACTGTCGGGATCTTCCCCGTCGTCGTTTTGCTCGCTCGCCCATCTTCGATTCGAAGCGAACCTCTCTCTCGATTTCGACGAAATCTTAGCGAAGGGGAACATGCTGTGGTAGATCTATTTTGCTTAGATTTTCGCAAAGACTAGGAAAAAGTCGCCATTGGTATTGACGAGAGAGGAAGGATTTTCACCATCAGCCTCACACGTATTGAGAGAAAGACGGCGCCATGGATTTGGATCAATGGATATCGAAGGTTAAAGAAAGCCAACATCTGACGGAGGACGAGCTTCAACTTCTCTGCGAATATGTACACTCTCTTCTCCCTCTTCTCGGTTGCTTTCTCTTCCATTGGATTCATGTAGCATTCTTTCTGGGCTTCGATTAGTGCTGTCTGGAGCTTGTTTATGTTTTTTTCTTGGTCTATCGATGTATTGGGGGAAAACATAACCTTGAATTTGCTCTATTCATCCATTTGGTGTTGTTACGGTTCCTGGATTTAGGGTTTTTAGGTTTTGCCCATATAATATATTGTTCATAGAAATCTATAGTTTGGGTCTGGGAATGTTTGGATCAATTGGCGATTGAATTGCGATCTTGTGTGCATATGGGTCCTGCTTATCTAGCCAGTTTCATTTTGTAAAATTTTTATTGAATTTAACTATATACCTTGAAATTAGAATTTAGAAGCATACTTGTTTAATTAGATAATTACAAGATTCCTTCTCATTGTTACAGGTAAAGGAAATCCTCATTGAGGAATCAAATGTACAACCTGTCAACAGTCCAGTCACTGTTTGTGGTGATATCCATGGCCAGTTTCATGATCTTATGAAGCTTTTCCAGACCGGAGGTCATGTTCCAGAGACAAATTACATATTTATGGTAAGATTTGTTCTCTTTTTTTTTTTTTTTTTTTTTATCTCATATGGTCCATTAACGTGTGCTCGGCATTAACGTCCTTTGGGACCTTGGCAGGGGGATTTCGTTGATAGAGGTTACAACAGCCTTGAAGTTTTCACTATTCTTTTACTCCTTAAAGCAAGGTCAGTTTATGTATAAACATTACAAATTCTTGTGATGCTGGAATTATGCCTCCCATAGGCCAGTTTGTTTGTGCTTTTCTATGTGCTCAATAGCTGGTTATCCAGTTTAATACTTTTTCTTGACTTAGTAACTTATGGTGTGTAAAATTTTCCTATGAACGAGCACATGCTCTCGATCAACTAGTGTTTTTCTCTAGACTTGGACCTTGAGAACAGATACTAGACATGAATTATTCATTCGGGCTTTATTGGCAATGCTGTTTAAGCTGTAAATTCATCTCTGTTCATTCGGAATTTTATGTTTCTAACTCTTATTTTGTTGTTGGGCGACTTTCCCACGTGCTTAATTAAATTTGTAATTTTCTAATATTTTCCATGTTTTGTTTGTCTCTGCAGATATCCTGCTAACATTACACTATTGCGTGGTAATCACGAAAGCAGACAGCTAACTCAGGTATGTAGTTTTGTGCTTTAATTGTCTATTCTCACATTGTTCTTCTCACCTATCTAGGGAATAACAGTCTTTGATTTCTTCGCTAACATATTCATCATTATAACAGATTTTGAAAGTTCCAGTTTTACCCATTTGGCTACGCTGTGTGTGATGTAGACATAGGTGTTCCTTGAGATGTATGTGTATCTTTCTTTTGCTGGAAAACTAGTACCACAAGGTTTCCACTTTAAATTATGAACATTTCCTTTCCTGCCATGTATTCCTCCTCAGCAGCTCCTGATTTATTGTTCCGTGTGATTTATATTCACTGTAACATGCACATCAATGGAAGAAATGCAAAGGTGCATCTATGATACATGATGTTTAGATTTATTGTGAATTGGCCATATTGATTATCATGGGCACTCGTTTAGAAATTCTCTAGTCGTTATCTTCATCAATTTAATTTCACAGTACAAGAGATGCTTCCAATTATGGAATGTCTTTGACCCTAATTGTTGGATTCTGACGTTCAGGCAATTAGAATTACTTGATCACATGGTTAATTAGTAAGTAGTTCTCGTCCGTACTTAAGGTCACATTTGAGAGGTCAGAATCGTCAGAACGAACTTGTACAATGCAATTCGGATTGTATGCCTTAGATCTTTTAATTGTATGATAAAAATATTTTTTACTTGTTAACCTGTCTTAGAATTGGATGAAGTATCTAGAGTATTGGATTTTTTTTTTGTATCATTGCTGCTATTGACCTGAAAAACCAGAGCTTCCATAACACATGAAACAATGGTTACTTATTTACCTTTTTTTTTTCACTTTTCTACATCTCATCTGGTATCAATGAAGAGATAGACGTTTGTCTGTGGATGTAAAGCTGTATGTTACATTCAGTTGATTTTTTGTTTCTCTCTCTAGTCTAGAATCATTAAGACTTTTTTTATTCATATGGACAACTAATGTCAGTTTTATCTTTCACAGGTGTATGGCTTCTATGATGAATGCCAAAGGAAGTATGGTAATGCTAATGCGTGGCGATATTGCACTGATGTTTTTGACTATCTTACTCTGTCAGCTATTATAGATGGCACTGTAAGTCTTTTCTTTTGTATCTTCGCGATTATATAGGTTTTAGCAAGCATACTCTCTTAGAATTGACTGCATATCTCTACTGAATGTTGTATTAAATAACTACTGCTTCATTTATGAAGGTTCTGTGTGTTCATGGTGGTCTTTCCCCTGATGTTCGGACAATCGACCAGGTTAAAATCCTTACTTTTTTTTTGTCTTCCCAAATGCTTGTGCCTAAGCATGTAATTCGTCCTAGGTTAATCTTATCTACTCACTTTTGATCTTATTTTGTCCTTTAGATAAGACTCATTGAGCGAAATTGTGAAATTCCACATGAAGGGCCCTTCTGTGATCTTATGTGGAGTGATCCTGAAGAGATTGAAACATGGGCTGTCAGTCCACGTGGAGCTGGCTGGCTTTTTGGATCCCGGGTTACTTCTGAGGTAATATTATGCTTTTGAATCTTGAATTTATGATGTAATTCAAAATCCTTTTCGCAATTTCCAAACTGATAAGACTATTGTGATGAATTACATCCTTTTTGTTGTAATCATCTGCTTCACTTGTTTTGATACTTGAATGCCTATTGTGGTGTCGTTTCCTTGATTTTGGTTTGGTTCTTGTGCAGTTCAACCACATCAATAATCTTGATCTAGTTTGTCGAGCTCATCAACTTGTGCAAGAGGGTCTCAAGTACATGTTCCAAGATAAAGGCCTAGTAACGGTAGGACTCTGCTTCCTTTGACTAAGACCTTTACGCTTCTGATGCATAGAATTATAATCTGCTTGACGAGTTTTTTTAATAAACCTGAAGGTATGGTCTGCTCCGAATTACTGCTATCGCTGCGGGAACGTGGCTTCTATATTAAGTTTCAACGAGAACATGGTCAGTCATATGTTCACTTCATTGTACCGATATTTTCTTGTCTTCCACTATGCATTTGTTAAGGTTCAGACTCTGAAACTCAACTTTCTAAAACAAATCAAGCCTTTATTCCTCACCGAAAACCTGAATACAACTTTGGATGATCTTGTTTTATGAGAGGATCCCAACCCTCATTCCCCAGAACAAACCCTAACCCTTTTTTGAAACTTCTCTGTAATCCCTTTCTCATCCATCTAAATCTGTATTTATAACTATTCATTGCTGAAACTACTAACTAACTAATACTAACAGCTTAAACAACTCATACTAATTATAGTCCAGATTCAATGAATCTACCTAAACCATACATCTATCAGCATTTTTTGCCTGCTCGATAGATTGTTACTTGCTTCAGTTTACTCGTATGCATCGATCTTCTTTGATCAAACAGTCCTTGTGCATGTCTTCATACGTGCACACACACACACAAACACATGCATATACTCCACATTTTCTATTGTATAAAAATGTGATCCATCTTTTGTTCTCCTGATATTCTTCTCTCTACCCAAATAAGTGCATGACTTCTTGTTCAGCTTTCTGCTCTTAGAGCGATGATTTACAAGGATTACAGAAATCTAAAAAGATTTTTGTTTTGCCATTTTCCGTGTATGTGCAATATTGTTTTTGCGTATTTATCGGTCCAAGAGATCCAGAAAAAGCCGTTGTTTCTTGCCTTTCAAGTCTTTCACTACTAATTTGTTTCAATCTCTCTGATCTATAGAGAATACATAGAGTATTTGCTAGTGAATTAGGGCCATCCATTTCATGTCTATCATCTAGGTTTAAATACTGCATTGCATTGCACCTCCTGTTCTTGTGAGCTCATATCGATTGAATCTTCGTGTCTCTATCTATCTATTTATATATAATTATATATAATCTTTTCGGGGAAAGGTTTTTTGTGCAGCCGCCCCTCTCTGTTTACGGTGTTAATATGCTTTTTCCACCAGGAGAGGGAAGTGAAGTTCTTCACAGAGACAGAAGAGAACAACCAAATGAGAGGGCCGAGGACCGGAGTTCCGTACTTCCTTTGATCTTATCAGCCAAAACCCTTGATTTTGATGAAGAAGAAGCCGTTGGGGCAATGTATGTTTTTTACAAGTTCTACTTGTTTACACTGTTAGGCAAACATTTCTGATTATTTTTTTGTGAGTCGCAAAGTGTCTCTGTCTTTGCCCAGGAACTGCTTCTGATCTGTATTCGCTTAAAGTGCTTTCATCCTGTCTGGCTGTAATATGTAAGACCTTCACACGTTCTCTCTCTTTTGTAGCTTTGAGATGTTGCATTGGTTACAGATATGATTCAGTATGAGGCAAAGCAATCGCTAGCAAACGTATCGTAAATGCATACAATCGCCACGATTGCGATTGCGATTCCACCGCTCAACACTTTAGTGAGGCTGTTCGTTATTTTGGGTTTGTTTGATTAAAGCTGAATCCGGTTTAAAAATTTTCATACCGAATTGGTTTCCATTAGGTTTTTAGTATGATTGATTCCACTCCATATGGTTTTTGTAGAACTTTATTTTAGATTTCATAATATCATTTTTCTCATTTGTGCGTTTTTTCAAGTGGTCTATCATTAGTTTTTTCATTTAAAAATGGCAAAATTGGCTGCATTTGTTGACCTTTATTTTATTTAATTGAAATAATAAGATTGATTGGTTTTTATTTTTATATCTAAAAGATGAGAAAATGGCTTGGCTGTCGAGCCAGTCCATTAATGGAATATTTAACACTAAATACATAAGATAAATTAAAACTTTCACATTTACTAGCAAATTTGATTATATCATAACTTGAATCACCGAATACATTAATTAGTATCAATCTCCAACAAAATGAAAGCTGCGTTGCTGTTCACCCTTCATTCCTTGAAGTCATCTTTATCATCATCCGCCGGGGTCGGCTGGTTTCTCCAGAGCGCTGCCATGGCGCTCCCAAAGAGCTGCGAAAGTGTATAAACGTAAATTTATGTCGCGAGGAGAGGAGACGTAGGATAAGACGGACGTGTTGCTTGCAGCTGAATCTTACAGCCATGCAGATAACACTGACTGCCGAAGGAACAGCTACGAGGGGATCCTTAAAGTGCTTGTGCGCGAGGAAGAACCCGAGTGATGAATTCTGTATTGCAGAGCGAGGCCGAGATACCACCGAGAGCGGTAAGCGTTCCTTTTCATCCATGTTTTCGTGTAAAAAAAGAAATCATTTCGACGGGTTTCTATGCTTTTATATGCATCTGTTTGTAGTCCAGATTTGTTACAAGTTTACATATTTTTTGATGAATTGGTGCGAGATGCAGATGGGTTTTAATTACCTGCATTCCGCACTCGATAGAAATGGTGCGTGAAGTCGACTCCCCGAAAGATGTTTTCGAGATGCCATAGCCGACGGCAAATGCCATACCGTGAAGAAGCGCAACGGAGAACAGAAGCTGAGATCCTTGAGTTTTCAAGACCTCCGAGACTTGTCCAATCTTCGAAAAAGAAAAAAGCTTCTATATTGTATAGGAAATAGGGAAGATCCCATTGAAATTCCTAACTTGTAAAACCGTGGAAAATTAATTTTTAAACTTTTCGTTTAACAAATTTATTTCCAAACTTGTAAAATATGTCATTATAATTCTCAAACTTTTTAATTAGTTCCAAAACAAACATTGACGACGTTGACCCAAAAATCCGTTTGGAAATTACAATGACACATTTTTAAAGTTTGAGAATTAAAATGACATATTTTGCAAGTTTATAAATAAATTTGTTAAGTGAAAAGTTTAAAAATTAATTTTCCACCATTTTACAAATTCAAAAAAATTTAATAGAATTTATCGTAGGAAATAATACATTTATAAGAATGTTATAAAAAGGTCTATGAGATCTTACGGGGCTTGTCCAAAGAAGGGTAGTCAAGATAACGCTGATTAGAGGCGTCACCGTCGTAATCTTTGATGTGAATTTGGGAAAGAATTCGTTTGATAGGACTGTCACATAAAGCTGAAACATCAAATCCCAAATGATCATCCAAATTGTCGTTGAATCAATTAGCATGCTTACCTCCAAGGACAGTTGGAACCAAAACTACTTGAAAGGTACTCAGGGCGAGTCCCTGCAAAACAGGAAACAAAATAACGAATGGGCTTTTGAAAACTGCGGTTGTTATTAGAGGTGGGCGTTTCGGGAATCGATTCGGTTCGGAAACGGTTTGTTCAGTATTCTAAAATTTGTACCAAATTAGTACTGTATATTATTCGGATTCCGGTTTCGATACGGTTCGGTTTTGGTTTTTGTTAAAAAAAAATAGATTTTCTTAAAAAATTTCGATTTTTCGAGAATTTTATAAAGTTCGATTCGGTTCGGTTACGGAAAATCCGGGTTGATAAAAACATACCATTCGGAAATTTTGAATGGTACGGTTAAAAAAAAATACCGAGATTTTCTGTTTTCGGAACCGAACCGAAACGCCCACCCCATAGTTCTTATATATCTTGCTGGAAATGAATGCTGAAATCAAATCAGAAAGATTCCACTTCTGTTGTTTTCGGTCATTTTTCAAAGAATTGAGATAAAAGCATGCTTATGTTTCTTGGAAGATCAAAGGAACAAAAACATCCCACGCCAGAAAATAACATTCTGGAACGAATTTAAAATGGTTGCGAACTTACTGCGGCATCGACTGGAATACGCATGTCGAAGAAAAACTCCGTAAGAAGAGGAGTCATCACGATAGCTCCAATGGATGAACAGCTTCAAATTTAGAGAGACAACAAAGGCTCAAGAAAAGTGTGAGATCAGTTCTATTGAGAAATTATATTCATTCGTCGACGTCACGTTTATACAATGTGTTATGTAAAACGATTACATTATGATTATCAGATTATGTAATGGTTATGTAAGCAGAAGTACAAATTTGAATTTGTATGTGTTGTGTGATTTGAGAAAGTAAAGATATGGTGATGAAGATACGTGGTTCATATGAAAATAGCAGATTTGAAATTAGTATAAATAGTATGTGTTGTATGAAATTTTCTTAATGTTTATATAATACAAGTTCGGTGACAAGTTTTACCAATGCGATGATGAGAAAAGAACAAAACCAAGTTTACTTACGTTGTCATGAGAACAGAGAGAGCTACATTTCCCTTGGATATGTAGGTTACGACGTTTGAGGCGCGCCCTCCGGGGCAGCACGAGACCAGGATGAGGCCGGTTGCGAGAGGTCGGGAGAGTTTAAGACTCTAAAAACAAAACAAACAAACACTTAAGTCGGCTGCTCAAAACATTTCGCTTTCGAAAAACAAAAGTTGATAAAAGATCATAACATAGGTTAATTGAAAAAGCTCAGAGGTCTGGGTATGCGACAACAGATGTGTTGAAACGAACAGAACACACACAAGACACTAACCGTTGCTATGACAAAGCCTAGCATAGGCTTGATTAAATATTGTACAAGAAAACCAACAACAACCTGCGGGAGAAACCTTTGAAATGTTAAACAGGCAAAGCTATTAGTACAAGTTGAAAAAAAGAAGCTTAATAGTTGGGTCGAAGGCGCGGTAAATTTTCGAGTTATAAAAAAAAAATTCTAATAGGGGAATATTATTCTTCTTAATTAGTACCGTCCATGGATTACGTAAACACCTTCCGAAATCCTTGAAGGTTAGTGTCATTCCCATGGAAAGCATGAGAAACTTCATGCCGAGAGTGGAAAGATCAGCCTTAAACCATGTGACCTGCAAGATCTATCAATTAGCAGCAACAGAATGAATTCCCCTATAAGTAAAGCTACATGAGAAGTCTGAAACATACTGCAGCTGGCTTGTTGATGCCAATAACTGTTCCCAAAATAACCTGCACGTAGAAACTATGAGAGCATATCACAGTGTATATATCTATATATATATATATATAGTTTTCACTTGATTACAGAAATGATAAAAGACTCGAATGAATACCCAAACGGGAAAAAGGGTCGTTAAAAGTTCAATAATCTTCTGATATGTGTTCGTCCCACTCGGAGAACTGTCGCCTGAGACATCCGTTGCTCCTTTGCATGCAATTCGCGTGGTCCTGAAAAAGTTGAGCCGCAAAATATCACTCGGGAACATGAATCTTTTTGGAAACCATATAGGTCTTGTGCAAACAGAATGTGATATTCTATGCATCCAATCTAGAACCTGACTAAGTTTGTAATGCTGCATATCTTTTTGAGTGAATCCGCCATCTTTGGAAGACTTTAGGCACACAGATTGCACCGATTTCATTAGAGTATGGGAGAATTTTATTGAGAAGTTGATTCATTCGTTGATGTCACGTTTATGCAATGCTTATTTAAGACGTTTACACCATGATGATATAATGTTTATGTAATAGAAATTTGAATTTATGTGTGTTGCGTGTGATCGATCGATGAAGTGGTAAAGACGTGTGGTTGAGATGAAACTAGTAGATTTGAAGTTTTAGTATAAATAGGGAATGTTATATAAAGTTTTTCATATAAAGTATTTCTAAGCATTTCTCCCAGAACACGTTTTTCTAATTTTTCTTTTCGACATTTCTTTATAATTCTAAACATAAAATATGACAAATCTTCAATATTTTCTCGTATTTCTTTATTTACACTATGTACTAAAGGTTAGAAGTTGAGAAGTTTATGATTGTTTATGTAATACAAGTTTAACATATGTCTAAAAAAGTTGTTTAGAGTTTTTATACACAAATTGCGAAAAACCCAGTTTTTCATCGATGAACTCATGTTGCCAAGGAAAGAAAGTTTTCCTCTTTTTTTTGTAGAAAGCTTCCACATTAGCAACCCCATCACATAAAAAAAGGGAATTCATATTCTTTTCACGACTTTCCATCACCAACAAGATAATCCAATTAGACAAGAACTTAAACAAGATCTGAACCACCACCTTACCTTGATGAATGGGTCACGGTTGAAGCTGATGCAAGAGCAACCATGGAGTTTGATGATTTCTTGCTTTGGATCGCCGAACCTTTCCCAAAATCTGGATTGAATTATCGAATCAGCCACTAAGAACGTAGATTTCATTTCTTCACCCCAAAAAAAAAAAAAATCTTGGGACCGACCCAAGTTGAATCATACCCAGACGATTTTGAACTCGACGAGTCGGGAGCCGGAAATTGCAAAGCTTGGTGCCACTGCTTTGTCTTAACCCACAGTCTGTCGGGACAATTCTAGTAATCGACGTCGACGCCATTAATTAAACCGGGTTGAAAGCTTGGATTGCTGCACAGAAAATGAAGGATTAAGTGTTAAATCGATGTATTAATTTAGTAGCCCATGTGCCTCTCGCCTTTGATTTTATATTGAATATAACTATATAATAAGGCCTCCATGTGCATCTCGACATTTTCACATTTGCATATTGAATAATTTGATAACTAGGTGGCCATTAACGCCTCCATTCTCTTTTCCCTCTCTTTTAAAATTTAAATAAAGTCTAAAACCCACGATTTTTAAGTTACTTTCCCCACAAAACAATTGGGCAAATTTCACCATTACCCCTAATGCGTCGCACATGTATCATAGATACACCCCAAAAACATAAAGAATTAATAAAAGACAAAGATGCCTTTATAAAAGTTGGAAAAGTCTTTGTTGCCCTTAATAAAAATGAGCGTGTGAGAAAAAACACGTGTGCGAGTGGGTGAAAGCCCACCAGATTTGCCAGGGCCCATTTGCCAGAGTAGAAAGGGGAAAAAAGAGTTAGGGTTTTTTTACTGTCCTTTTGAAAACAAACAGAGAAACACCGAGAGCGCGGGCGAAGTACGAAAATTTTCAGAAATCTGGCGAAATGGAGCGAAATCCACCGAGATCGAGTGTAGAAGGGTCACATGGAAGTGATTCATCTTCGTCAAGTGGCGAAGCCTCACATGGAAGTGATTCATCAGGGTCGTTCGAAAAAACAGATTCGCATAGAAAAAGGACCGAGGATTCTTCTCCGGATTCAGATGTGAGTATTTTTTTCTGAACTTTCTTCGAATGGATAGAAAAATGGAAAGAGAGTTGGTTTTTTTATATAAGTTCGAAACTTTTGGTTAATGATTAAACAGTTAGAATATGGTTGAATACAGTCATTTATGTAAAAATAGTTCAGATTATGTAATATTTAAGGTAGAACTAAAAAATGACGAAGTATCCTTTATGAATGTATATTATTTAGTCTTATTTGCACCTTAAAATTGTGAAGTTGTGCATGTGAATTAGTTGTAGGTGCCACTAAATACTACAGAAGTATTTGGTGTATGTCAGTCTTATTTCGACCTTAAAATTGGACAGTTGTTGTATCTTTGAAGTACTTGTATATGCAACTAAATGTTATAAGAGTGTTTAGTTTAAAGTCGTTTATGCATAGTAGTACTTGGATATTTTGTAAATTAGTTGTTAATGCAACTGAATACACTTATTTTATTGCAGAGCGAGGCCGAGATACCACCGAAACCGGAATTTTATTATGATTTCGATGATATGAATACAATTTCGGTGAAAGTATCTTCTAAATGTTTTCACATCGAAGCAGTGGATTTTCTGGAAAAGTATTTCACCGAAGAAGAGGAGAAGCATTTCACAGAAAAATCTCAATTTAGGCATCTGTTTCATATGAAAAAGAAGCAGACTTTGAAGATGAGTCCAATGGTTGCGCTCATCAATCGTGCGGTGAAGACAAAGAGGGAAAATGAACTGTGGTTCGTCATTAACGGAGTACCCATTAGATATTCTTTGTGGGAGCACACAATACTTTGTGGGCTGAAGGGTTCTAAACTGCCTGACAATTGGTAAACACTTGGAGGGACCAATTTATATAGAAAATACTTTGGTCAAGAAAGCTTCGAAAAAGTTCCGAAGACACGAGTTATGGCAATGTTTTCAGAATTGCCTAAAGATGAGACAGAGAATAGATTGAAGATGGCATATTTGTTGTTGCTAAGTATGTGATAGGACATCAACATTCGGAGTTTGTTAATCCCTTTTTGCTGAAGATAGTTGATGATGTGAAGTGCTGTGAAACATTCCCATGGGGAACATTCACCTTCCAGAATGTTCTTGGATCTGTGCATAATTACTTGAACAAGCACAGAAAACCGGTAAATCAGTGGAATTTACCATGTTTCATAATCCTTCTCACTGTAAGTTATTTAAATTAATTGATTAAAGTGTGAGATATAAAGTAATACATTATTAATGTTGTGTAGTTGATATTGCAGATGTTACCATTCGAGTGCATTCCTAAACTTCGCAGCGATGGATGGTACAGTGAGGTGAAATTGGAAGGAAATGTGACTGAGGCATGTCCAAGGATGTGTAGAAGATGTTTCATCCCGAACAAAAAGTATGGAATGAAACAAGGGTTGGCAAAGATTGGCAAGACACAGGTATGTTTCTGTTGAAATAATAATGAAGTAGATGTTTTGTAGACATATTAAATTTTTGTTCATTCAATTAAAGGACATTGAAAGCTATCTCCAACCATCCAATGGTGAAGAACGTCTGCTTAGGGGTGTTGCAGTGAGGGATAGAGAACCAGACGATGTTATTACTGTTAGATGGCTTATTTGACTGAGGAGCCAAGATCTGTGAAGTGGAATGATATTCTCGAGGAAGATGTCAGATCTCGCATTGAAGTTCCATTGATGAAGCAACAGAACAAAAGGAAAGCGATTGTTTCAACTAGAAAAACTGAGAAAAAGAGAGGAAAAAGTAATAAAGGCAAAAGACTCATCAACGAGTATGAAGAAGAAGAAGAAGAAGAAGAAGTGGAAAAAGAACGTGACTATAGTAAGGAATTGACCATGTTGAGATCTGAAATGACATGATGAGATCTGAGATGAGGTACACGAGTTCAAAGGTTGAAGTTGTGAGAAGGAAGTTGGTTGAGACAGAAGATAAGTTGTTTACTGCTATTGAAGATCAAGGTGCACAGATAAAGAAATTTGAAGAGGAAGTTATTGAAAACATGAAGAAAGTGATTGTGGCCGTTATAATCGCATCAGGTAATTATGACAATCCCTTTGAAGTCGATGCTAGAATTGATGTTTTAATGAAGAAGATGACCGAGACTATGGGTGGGAATGAAAAGGGTGAGAGTTCAGCCCAATACACAACAACCCCTCCCGAGACATGTCTGCATAGAGAAGATGTGGATAGTGAACTGGATATGGTGATTTTTGATGTTCTTAACGCATTAGACCAGACAGAAGGAGTGGAAGAAGAAGAAATCGTAGTAAGAGAGGGAAAAGAACAAGAAGAAAAAGATGATCCAATAGTGGTTGAAAGTGAGAAACAAGAACAGAGAAAGGAAGCGGAGAAAGAAGCAGTCAATGAGAAAGAGGGAGGAGTTGAGAAAGAAACTGAGAAAGAGGGAGAGAAAGAGAAGGAAGCAGACACAGAGGGAGAGAAAGAAGCTGAGAAAGAGAAGGAAGCAGACACAGATGGAGAGAAAGAAGCTGAGCAAGAGAAGGAAGCAGACACAGAGGGAGAGAAAGAAGCTGAGAAAGAGAGAGAGAAAGAAGCACACACATAGGGAGAGAAAGAAGTTGAGAAAGAGGGAGAGAAAGAAGCAGACATAGAGGGAGATAAAGAAGCAGACAAAGAAGATGAAGAAAATGCTCAAGATGAACAAGAAGAAAATGATGATGAAGATGAAGAAGACAACAAAAAAGGGGATGAGAAAAAACAAGAACAAAAAATAGAAGAGGCCGAGAAGGAAGAAAGGCCAAGGAGAACTTGTACCTCGTATAAAACGACGAGTCCTTGGGCTGATACTTTGAAGACTATCAATTCGAAGGGTGGAATCATAAGAGGAAGAGGAGGAAGAGGAGGAAAAGGACGAGGAGGAAAAGGGCGAGGAGGTCGTGGAACAAAAGGTTTGTGAATGTTGGTCTCGGTTGTCGTATGTATTAATTTTGAACTCGGTTTGGGATTAGATGTGTGAACTCGATAGATAATGTTAAGTATGAACTCAGTTTGTGATATCTTGTATGTGTGAACTAGGTTTGTGTGAATTTTATGGTGGTATATTGTGTGACACTGATCTCTACAGGTGATCGAAGAAATGGAAAAAAGTATCAAATATATTGGTAATCAGACTTGAGCATAAACATACAAGTGTGGATAGTCGCATTTACTACCAAAAAATGGTAGTAAACGAAGAGTGGTAATTGTTACCTAATAGTAGTAGTATTCGTGACCAAATATATTTGGTATCAGATTTATTTATTAAAAAAAGTCAAACATCTAAAATAATAATAAAAAATCCACGTAGACAAAATATTTAATATGAAGTCGACGCGTGGATAATAGACTTGCAGGAAGTGGGTCCAATTTAAAAAAATCACGCGTTTTGCCCATTTTGTCTTATTATGTGTCAAACCCAAAATTTTACGACTTAATTACGACTTATTTGGCACCAACGAATTTTTTAAAAATTGTTAATAAATTGCGATTTTGTCGGTTAATTTTATCAAATGATGATAAAAATCTTCCAATCAAATGATAATAATTAGCTTATATTAACATTTTTAACAAATTGTATATTTTGTTGAATTTTATTCAAAATGGTTGAATGTGTTAGTATTAGGTTTATATAGATTTATTGTTACATGTGAGAAAATGAACAAGTTTTTAATAAATTTGTTAGTTATGATTTAAAATTCTTTCCTTTCATATAATTAGTATATATGCATCACTTCTGAGAAGAATATCGATAAAATACACGTTTTACCTACATATTTTATTGATAAAATACACGTTTGTCAAAGTTGCAAATAAGTCGTAATCGAGTTGTAAAAAATTGGTTATGATAGACAATACGACAAATCCACACCGTTTTCGATATGTCAGATATTTGATTTTTTTTATATAATTTTTTATTTGTTTTAATATATTTTTGTTGTATTTTGACTTTTTGACTTTTTTACTTGTTTTTTATTGACGTTTTCATTCTTTTTCATCTCAATTACTTTTTGACAATTGCAACTACTTTTTCAATATTTCGCATCTGTAACTTATACATTGCTACTTATTTACGACCATACATGATTTTTTAACAAACATACAAACGTTAATTCATCCCAAAATACATCCCAAAAATTATCAAAAAAACCATATCACAGTAGTGAGTCAAGGCTTACAAAAAATGGAAACAATTAATAGATGAAATGTTCAACATATTTCGTGTTTCACATTTCATCTTCTAATTGCACTCCGTTTCCATCACTATTCTTCATTTTCTTCGATTGTGGCTCATTCAAATCAGATTTACAGGACGAAGTCATCCTCGACTTCTTCCTTCGGCGTTTTTCTCTAACACTTGGTATCCTCTTCGTTGCTAATCTGCCAAGACCTCGATGTTTCATAGCAGGAGGGTTGACTCTTATCTCCGCTATATAGTTAGGAATACTCCAACGAGAAACATCAGAAACTGGGTAAACAGAATCAACATATGCCAATTCCCATGTGGCTCTAGTGTAATATGGTGAACAATAGTCAAGTAGCTTATCTTTTTCACCGTGTTCATGCAACGCTTTTATTGCATGACAGCATGGGTATTTTTGAATGTCTCACACTGTAACGACCCGTGACCGCTACGAATTGTCGAAACTGCCCCCACACAGCAACCCGAGACCTTTCAGCGTGTTTTGTCCTCACTCGCACGTATACCGAGACACTTCCCAGTAGGTCACCCATCCTGAGATTGCTCCAGAGTCAGCACGCTTAACTTTGGAGTTCTCTCGGGATAGTCAACCAAAAAGGTAGGTGCACCTTGTTGCTATGAGTAGCTCAACTAATTCTTTTATGCTATCTTAGACTGTATAGTCCCATACCTATATAGCCCTCGGATCTCTCTCATTCTGGTGTGTTCGATTCATCCCTGTATCGGTATACGTGCGAGTGAGGACAAAACACGCTGAAAGGTCTCGGGTTGCTGTGTGGGGGCAGTTTCGACAATTCGTAGCGGTCACGGGTCGTTACAGATGGTATCAGAGCCGGTACTCTCCCAGTACGGTGTGGTTCGAGGACGAAACAGGCGGAAGCTGGTGGGCCTGTGACAACCCAGAGTACCGTAGGAGGGC